GTGTGTTGCGATGCTGTTGGAGAGAAATGTTGAGAGTATGCATGTGGGGCCGCATGGCACTGAGTGTGGATCTCAGGATGTGGCAAGAGCAGCTGTCAGTGGAACATTGAACATCACGGAGATATCTGTGATCCTGGGAGGATTCAAAACATGAGGGATGAAATTTCAGTTGGAATCCATGAGGGGTGAGTCTGAGCCGGAGGCAGTCACTGAAGAATGTGATATGGCTGTGGAAACGAGTTTTAGCAAATACCTGGTCAAACACTAGGAGTGGCAGTGAAATTAAAGTTGGTGGGCAAGAAGCGAGGTTGGAACAGAAATCCCGTCGGAGAGAGGAGCAGAACTTCTTCAAGGTGGGCATGCCTGGAAGAAATGTGGCAGTGAGTTAAGTACTAAATAAAAACCAAAAGAACTGCGGATGCTGTAAATTAGGAACAAAAACAAAGTTGCTGGAAAAGCTCAGCAGGTCTGGCAGCATCTGTGAAGGAGACAGGTTTGGAGGGATATGTACCAAACACAGGGAAGTGGGACTAGTTTAGTTTGGGAACATGGTCAGCAAGACTGGTTGGATTGAAGGGCTTGTTTCCATGCTGTGTGACTCTATGACTTTGTAAATGATACCTAGAAAGGAGGCCTTGTAGTGTAGTGAGTAGCATCCCTGTCATTAAGCCAGAAGCTACAGCCAGTTGTGCACCAGAATTGATAGCCAAGAAAAATGTGTTCATAACACAATCAAACAGAATGAGTAACAACTTGTGTATTATTCCAACAAATGCCAATTCAGGATTCAGTCCCTATTCCGGCTTGGATAGAGTCAGGTCCTAGCTCTTTATCCCTACCTATGGTGGAGATCACAGTGCTATGGAACAGCAACTTGAAAATGAGGATCTACAGATAAAGCAATAAAACTTTGTCACTTTGGTTGCTTAACTCCTTTCAGGTGCAGCAGGAAAGAACAAGACCACCAGCAGGGATAAAAGTAGCACAAAAGGTGGTGAGAACACAGGCAGGATTGGAGATAAAAGCAGAGAAGCAATGATAAAATGTGACCGGCAGTGGGAATAAAAGCAGTGCAGAGACAGCGGCTACAGATTTGGGGAGCAATGGGTACAGCCAATTGCTACTTGGAGCCAATTTGAGGTGGGACATCACAGGAAGCAGATAAAAAAAACTTACTGAGTGAGAAACCGCATGAGTCCTGGTGAATCTCATAACTAGGAATGTGGTTAAGGCTTCAATGAAGGTTAGGGATGGTGGGTTCAGTTACGTGGAAAAGTATGGAAAAAGTTAAAGGCAGGAAGGGCTAAGTAGAGGTTATTAGCAAGTTACGATGAGCAAGTCATAGTACAGAGAGTATGGAAAGGGTCAGAATCCAACTTCAGGCACAGCAGATCAGAGGACATCTATGAGAAGGGGGGCAATCAATGCAGGACCGAGGGAGTTGTACTTCCATGCATGCAGTACATGAAACAAAATGAATGAGCTTTTAGCACAGATTGAAAGTGGCAGATATGATGTTGCGGGTATCACAAAGACGTGGCTGCAAGGGGATCAGGGCTGTGAACTAAAGGTTCAAAGATATCCATTCTACTGAAAGGATAGGCAGATGGGCGGGGTGGGGGGGGCGAAGGTTAGTAAGAAATTAAACTAAATCAATAGTTAGAAGTGATATTGCTTTGGAAGGCATAAAATCTGTGTGGGTAAGGTTGAGGAACTGTAACGGAAAAGAAAGACACTAGTATGAGTTAAAAACACTCCTCTTAGCAGTAGTCAGGATGTGGGGAAGAAATAAATCAGGAGATAGAAAAAATGTGTAAGAAAGGCACTATGACAATAATCATGGGATCTTGCGTATACAGGTGTACTTGGAAAATCAGGTTGGTAGCTGAACTCAAGAAATCATGGTATTCGTGAAACGTCTGCCTGATGGTTTTTTTGGAGCAACTTGTGACAGAGCCCACAATTCTGGATTTTGTGATATGTTATGAGGCAGACTTGCTTAGGGAGCTTAAGGTGAAAGAACCCTTAGGGAGAAGTGACTAATATGATAGAATTCATCCTGAAGTTGGAGAAAGAAGCTGGAATCAGACATAATGGTACTACAATTGAGTAACGGTAACTACAAAGACATGAGAAAAGACTAGCCAGAGTTGATTGGAAGTGGAGCCTAGCAGAGAAGACAGTGGAGCAGCAATGGCAGGAGTTTCTGGGGATAATTAGGGGAGCACAGCAGAAATTCATCCCAAGAAAGAAGAAATATCCTTAGGGGAGAATGAAGCAACTATAGCGGAGAAGGGAATTCGGGGACAGCATTAAAACAAAAGAAAAAGCATACAATGTGATAAGGATCAGTGGGAAGCCAGAGGATTGGAAAGCCTTGAAAAACCAGAGGATGACTAAACAGCATCAATGGAGAAGAAAGTGAAATACGAGCGTAAGCTATCTAGTAATTAAAAGAAGCTTGCAAGAGCTTTTTTTTAATGCATATAAAGGTAAGAGAGAGGCAAACATGGATATTAGACTGGTAGAAAATGAGGCTAGAGAAGTAGTAATGAGGAATGAAGAAATGGCAGAGGAACTGAATAGATACTTTGCATCAGTTTTCACAGTAAAAGACACCAGCAGCATGCCATAACTTCAGGGTGAGAGGTGAGTGTAGTGACATCACTAAGGAGCTGGGGAAGCTGAAAGGGTAAATGACCTGGACCAGATAGACGACAGACTCTGAAGGAGGTGACTGAGGAGATCGTAGAGGAATTGGTGGTGATCTTTCATGAATCACTGCAGTCAGGGAGAGTCCCAGAGGACTGGAAAATGGCTAATGTAGCACCTCTGTTTAAGAAGGAACGGAAGCAGAAGACGGGAAACTTCAGGTCAGTTAGCCTAACCTCGGTTGTTGGTAAGATTTTAGAGTTCATTATTAAGGATGAGGCTACAAAGTACTTGGAAGTGCATTGAAAATAGGGCTGAATCAGCATGATTTTGTCAAGGGTAGGTCATGCCTGACAAATTTGTTAGAATTCTTTGAGCAGATAATGAGCAAGCTTGACAAAGGAGAGTCAGTGGATGTTATCTATGTGGATTTCCGGAAGGTTCTTGACAAGGCGCCGCACAAGAGGTTGCTAAATAAAATGAGCCCATGATGTTAGGGGTAGGGTACTGAAATGGATTGAGGATTGGCTGACTGGCAGAAGGCAAAGTGTGGGGTTAAAGAGGGCTTTTTCAGGATGGCAGCCAGTGACTAATGGACTGTCGTAGATGGGGTCAGTGTTGGGACCACAGCTAATCACGTTACACATTAATAATCTGGGTGAAGGAACTGAGGGCATTATGAACTTTGGTAGGAAGAATAGAGGCATAGACTATTTTCTAAACAGGGAAAGGCTTCTGAAATCTGAAGCGCAAAGGCCCTTGCGAGTCCTAGTTCAGGATTGTCTTATGGTTAACATGCAGGTTCAGTTGGCAGTTATGAAGGGAAATGCAGTGTTAGCACTCATTTGAAGAGGGCCAGAGTACAAGTGTACTACTGAGGCTGCATAAGGCTCTGGTCAGACTGTGTCTGGAATATTGTGTGCAGTTTTGGGCCCTGAATCTAAGGATGGATGTGCTGGCATTGGAGATCTAGAGGAGGCTTACAAGAATGATAAAGGGGATGAAGAGCTTTGTTGTAAGTAGGAACGGTTGAGGACTCTGGGTCTATACTGGATGGACTTTAGAAGCATGAGGGGGCATCTGATTAAAACTTAGAGTACTGCAAGGTGTGGATAGACTGGATGTGGAGAATATGTTTTTGCTAGTAGGAGAGACTAGGGCCAGAGGGCACGGTGTCAGAGTGAAGGGACATCCCTTTAGAATTGAGATGAGGAGAAATTTCTTCAGCCAGAGGATGGTGAATCCGTGGAACTCATTGTTGCAAAGGGCTATGGAGACCGAGTTGTAGAATGTGTTTAAGACAGAGACATTCTTGATTGGTAAGGGAGTCAAGGGTTCCAGGGAGAAGGCAAAAGAATGGGATTGAGAAACATATCAGCCATGATCGAATGGCAGAACAGAAGCGATGGGCTGGATGGCCAAATTCAACTCCTATAATCTTATAGGAAATCTGGTCCAGCCAGTGAAAGCAGCAAGGAGTGAAGCCCCACGGGTTGGATTTTGATGTCAAAAATTCAAAATGCACAGGAGGCGCAAGTGTAGTTAGCTGAGTGGAATGATCTGATTGGTCTTTTGTGAGCCTGCTGCTATGGCAGCAATAAGTCTTTATTGATCTTACAGGTGCTAATTGATATGGAGCACCTACTCCATAGTACGAACCCTCAAGTAAGTCAGATTGTGGGGTCCTGACATAGGTGTGTGTTTGTGTTGCTGTGTCTGTGTTTTGTGTGGACCTTCAGAGTGTGTGTGCCCAATCATCTCGACTATCTCTGCCATTCAATAAAGACCTTGTTCTACCAGGACTGTGTGATAATCAATGGCCATCCCATGTTAAAGAATTCTCAGAGGCATCTTCTTGTCATTTCTCAGAATTACATTTTAGAGTTGGAACATCATGAACTTTAACAACCAACCCCAGCAGTGACAGAGCCAAATGTCACATAGCTATCATAGCCCAGGAACTCCAACATTATAATGTTCGCATTAACTAGTTTTAGCTATAAAGTAAGCTATTCATTAGCTCTTCAGGCCAGTTGCATTAACATTGTAATGTAAGTGTTCAAAGTTGCTTACTGTGAGAGGCTTTGTGACTGCTTTTTCAGAATTCAGAGTTAACCTCTAAGGTTTCCCTGAATCCTATAATGGGATTGTGGAATCCATTGTACTACAGTCTATTCAATTGCTTTGATTTCTGTCACCATTATTAACTTGCAGAGTTTGTTACCAAATCTAATAACACTAAGGATCTTGATTTTCAGTTTAATTGTAATAAATTGTTAAACTTAATTCACAGAGAATGGTGAAATTCTGATTTTTAAAAAGCCCCAAAATATTGATCTTGTCACTAGACTCTTGAAGCAAAAATAAGAAGTTTGCAAATTTGCAAGGAAGTGACTGAGCAGAAGCTGAAGGAAGCTAGTTTGGAGTCACAACAGGTAGGACACTGATGATATTTTGTTTTGTATTGTTTATATCCTACGTTGATAAGAAATCTTGCCCATCTTATGAGCAATATCATAATTTTACTGTCTTATTCGGGAATTTCTAAGTGTAACTTTATTAATCATCATGTAGTGTAGCCAAGATGGTGCAATTAAATTCTTGCACCTATTATCAAAAATAACAAGATAATATTAAAATAATATTAAAAATCAGTCTATCTTCGCCTTAAAGTATCTTAATGTCTCGGCATCCACTGCATTGTGAGGTAATGAATTCCACAGATTCACGACTCTGAGAGAATTAATACCTCATCATCTGTTTAAATCTGCTACCCCTTATCCTAAATCAATAATCATTCATTCTAGACTGCTTCACAAGAAGAAACATTTACTCTATGTCTACTTTGTCAATCTCTTTTAACATCTTATATACTTAAATTAGATCTCCTCTCATCCTTCTAAACTCTAGCAAACATTGACACAAACTGCTCAATCTCTCTTCACAAGACAAACCCTTAAACTCTGGAGTCGATCTAGTGAACAAGCTAACAGTAATGCCAGTGAATCTTGGGAATGGCAATGTAGTTCTGACTTTGGGGTCTGATCGAATTTAGATCAGTGCATTGCACAGATTTCTATGAATAAATTGAATCAGTTGAGATAGACATGAGCTACTGTTTAAATCAGGGTTATCTTTGCAGATCTGACTCTGAAAAGAAACCCAAACTGTGTGAACTGTATTCAAAGTAGGAAAGTTACCCCAGATACCAAGTTACCAAAATATATCTTTCAAAAATACATAGAAAGAAAGAATAGTTAGAGCCATTTGGCTGTTTGTGTCGTGCCAGGTAGAGAAGGAAATATTTTAAAAAATAATACAAGTACTGAAATAATGCGCTCCAAGAATTTAAGCTATTCACTCTGAAATTAATCTAAATTAACTATCCTTTACCAACCCATATTTTCAAAATCTAAAATCATATGTTTTCTATTAGATGTGCCTTCACAATTGAATAATTCCGAGCGTACTAATGGCTACACTCGTAACATGGCTCATTTATTCTTGCCAGACGTGACATACATTAATTCATAATGACATGTTCACTGCAAACAGAAGTGACATATTCAAGACCTCTTTTAAATTATCTTAGAGTTTAAAGGAGTCTATAGTTCTCCCTTGCAATGCCTCAGCCACTCTCACCTTTTTCTCTTATAGTATAAATTGTTGCGATCATTTGACATTTGAGTGTTGTGTTTGTCCTGAAGAGCGCAAGGTGAAAAGCATTGAACAACATGTCCCTCTTTTTGGAAATATTTAAATTAACATTCAGAATTGCTGCAAGCCACAATCCACCACCACCCCAATCAGTTCATTTTATTTAGCCCTGATTCCAATACCAACAATTGTTTTCATGTCTCACCTTTAATGTAGTAAAACATTCCAAAGCGATTCACTAGAATGCTGTAAAAAAAAAAAACAAAAATGACATCATGCCTTATGAGGAGAAATTAGATCTGATGATCAAAAGCTTGGTCAAAGAGTTGGGTTTCAAGAGTGCCTTGTAGGAGAAAAGTGAGGTCAGGAGGTGGAAGAAGATTTCAGAGCTTAGATTCTTTTCAGATGAAGGCATGGCCAACATTGGAGGAGAGATTAAAATTAGGAATGCTGAAGAGATCAACATTGCAGGGTGCAGATATGTTAGAGGATTGTGGGCTACAGCAGATTACAAAGGAGAGGGGAAGAAGGGCATTGAGGAATTTGAAAGCAAAAAAACAAGAATTGTAAAATTAAGACATTTCTTGTCCTGGATTCAGTATTGGCCTGCAGGTAAAAAGGTTATTGATGAATGGGAACCAACACAGTGTGGAGCTGGAAGAATACAACAGGCCAGGCAGCATCAGAGGAGCAGGGAAGTTGACGTTTTGGGTCGGGACCCTTCTTCAGAAATGGGACTTTGAGTTGAGAATGTTAACCTCTCTCTGTCCATGACTATTTTCTGCAGTGATGAAAATTCATTTTTAATATACAAGCAAAGGTTTGGATGCACTCTAGATTATGAAGGGTAGAATGAGAGAGACCAGCCACGACTGCATTGGAATAGTTTGGTCTAGAAGTGATACAAAAAAAAAATTAAGGTTTCAGCAGCAAATGAACTGAAATGGGATAAAATCAAATGAACACAAATTAGAATCAGCAGCCCACTTGGCTCCAAATGACCCTGCTCTGCTATTCAGTGTCATGTCTGATCTGATTACTCTGCAATCTTGCCTATCCTGATAACCATTTAACACCATTGCTTATCAAAAATTGGATGATATAATGGAGGTAGAAATGGACATCTTTGTGATTTAGTGATTGTGTATACGTGAGGCTGGGAATTCATGGGTCAGATGTGATGCTTTGATTGCAAACAACTAGTTAATTTTAGACTATTGCCAGGGAAAGAGATGGGATTGATAGGAAGACAAAGAAATTTGGAGTGAGTACCAAAAATGATGACACCAGTCTTTCCAATATTTCACTTTATTCAAGATCACTTTTATATCTTTCATTCCAATCCTTCAGGAGAGCTTTTTGCTCAAATTGGTTTTCATCCAAATCCCAGTATTGAAAATAAACATTATAAGTTAACACTACTTAATTTTATAAATAGTAAAATGTAGGATATGCAGGGTAGTTCGATCTTAGAGTAGGATAACAGGTCAGCACAACATTGTTGGCCGAAGGGCACCTGTACTCTGCTGTACTGTTCTATGTTCTATAAATAGTGATTGGGAGGAGGAACCGCAGATGTTTCTCACCACCAAAACCATTGCGATTTGAGTTTAGTTGTCGTACTCCCACACTTACCTAGTTGCATTCAGCAAACTCAACACACCAGGGGTGCAACCTGATGTATTCTCAGTTTGTATACATTGCTGAGCTGTTATCTGTTAAATCATGAGCAATACTACAAAAGTAGCTCCTGTTAACCAGTGAATGTAGTTATTTGAAAACATGAACACGATGTACAAGTGTTTTACACGAGGAGTTGTATTTAATCTGCATTAATAGTTGGGGAAAGTGTTGACAGTTGTGTTATTATCTGTAGGTTAGTGCAAACCTAGAAGAAGCACATCAGTGGTTTAAGTCCAAATTTGATAGTTTGCAAACAGAACTATTGAAAATGCGTGGAATGGATCCGTCAAAAGAAGAATTATGTGACAGAGACAATTTACTGAAGACTGGCACAGAAAAATTATGTTCAAGGTCAAGACAAAGAGCAAAGGTTCGAGTCACCTTCTAAGTTATTTTTCCTTAAGAATGTGTTAAGCTTTAGGATGAAAAACTACATTTTTTTCTTAAGTGTCAGTTACATTTTCCAACAATAGAAAGTGGTATTTCATGCACAGAAGAAAAAACACTGGGTTAAATTTTTCTCGTTTGTTAACATAACAGACTGTTTTTAAGCCTGATATGAGAATTGCTAAAATCTTTTACAAATGTAACTGCAGATTCAAGTGTCATCAAATAGAGACCACAGGTATTTGAATTGCTCATGTTTTATTGACACAGTGTCTGTTAATCATTCCTGATTTATTTGTCAGCTTATGGATCTTGGATCAAATAATTTTAAAAAGCTTGCAGCATTTATAGAAACTGGAATAAAAGTAAACCAGTGAAGATTAATAATTCTATGCAGGATTTTCCTAGTTTCCTAACAGTATTTCAGTATTTGTCAGTATCAATATTTGTTTTATATTGCAAGATTAGTCACGGAAGTTACAAAACGCAAATGTGAAATTAAATTGAAATAAACCTGTGGTAATCATGTCACAGTGTTGATCCTTTTAATGTAAATGACCCTACTATCAAGGACATGAGGCACATTGACCTTCAGAATTCAGGCAAACAATTTCTTGGCACAAAAATAAATAGATAGCTCTTTCTTGTAGTTGAAATCTTAATAGTGTCAAGGTTTTTAAGGTTGCAGTGCTGCCTTTAGATTTCAGAAAACAGTTGTGAGTCATTCAATTTCAAACTTCGTGATTATCCACTCAAATAGGATTTGATTAAATTACTGTTTTGTCATTATTTGTAAGTGTCCGTTCATCTTCTGTCATGCATAGGATGTGAGCAAAAGTCAATGAATATCTATAAAAAAAGTATCAGTAAATGATGCAGCAGAACAATAAGCTATGTGATATTGTTGTTCTTATGTCAGCCTTTTGGAAGAATTGTCCCATTTCCCACTCTTTCTGCCTAACCAAACAAATCTTTCCACCTAAATAGAAGGAAAGTGCTGGAGAAACTCAGCAGGACTGGCAGTATCTGTGCAGTGGAAAAATATAGCAAAGGCGCACAGAGCAAATGGTTATGGGAGTGTTAAATATAGTTGAGCAAAGATATAGAGAAAGATGGATGTTAATTGCAGAAAATGGGTCAGTTCTGCTGAGAACATACTGATGCAAAAAGACACCAGAGGGGCAGGGAGGAGGGCGTAAATCAAAATAGAGCCCAGAGTTTGTGGTCTGAAGTTGTTGATCTTAAATTTGAGTCGTGAAGCCTGTAAAGTGCCTAAGCGTAAAATTAAATGCTGTTCCTTCAGCTTCCTTTAGGCTTTGCTGGAACACTGCAGCAGGCCTAGGAAGAAACGTTAGCATGAGAGAGAATAAGATGGTGTTTTGAAAAAGCAAACAATTCTTTTCCACTTCAAGTATTTACATATCTGCTTTGGAAGTTATTATTGAATCTGCTTTGACAATCCTTTCTGGTTGTGTATCGCAATAACTTGTTGCATATACTTTTGCCTCAACTGCCCGAGCCAGTGTTTTCTAAAGATATACATAACTTACATACTCCTTGCTTATCTCTTTATCATACTAAGGATCTTGAATGCTTTCTTAATGGCCTTCCAATTTATCCTGTCACCTCCAAGGTGGTCAATTTGTGGTCAATTAAGTACTTTTGAAGTGTAGTCATTGTGGCGGTTTAGAACTCAAAGCAGCCAATTTACACACACAGTCCTACAAAACACATGAAATGACAGGATAATTTTGTTTTCTTTCATGATTTTGTTTGAAATGAGTAACTCCTGACCTTCCTCAAAATAATGCCATGGGATATTCCACCTGCAGACTGAACCATAGTTCAGTACCTTAGTTGAAAAACAACACCTTTGAAAGTGGGCATTCTTTCATTACTGTAGTGGAATGTCAAGTTGGATTATGTACCGACAACCTTCTGATCCAGAGGCGAGAAAGCTTCCAACTGAAGCCTATTTGATAAATGGTTCTCACACCGTGTTACCATTTGTACTAAATTTCATTTGCTAAGTGGCTGCCCATTTCACCAGATGGCCTGTGACTCCTAAGATCAGTTAATATCCTACTGGCTGCATTTCCATGTTTCGTGTCATCTGCAATCTTTGAAATTATGCTCCGTGTATCCAAGTCCAAATGATTATTGTCTATGAAAAGAACAGTATTCCATAATGATCCCTTGGGATACCACTACACATAACCACACAGGTTAATAAAACAATCATTGACCATTACTCTCTTTTTCTGTCCCTTTTGAGTTTCATGTTCATGCTTTAACCAACCTTTTAACCACATGGGTGTAAATTATGCTAATAAGTCAATTAGATATTGCTTTTATTAAAAGCCCTTTGAAATTCCAAGTACACAACATCATCAAGGCCATCCTCAGCTAGCGTCTGTTAATTTATCAGAAAAAAAACTCAGTAAAGCACAACTTGCATCTAACAAATTTGTGCTAGCTTTAAATTTATGATCTCATTTTTTTTCAAGTCAGTTCGTTCTACCTCGGATTAATGGTCATAATTTTCAAAAAGATACAGTAACAAGTACAAGGATTGCAACATGCAGCTAACTTGTGCTGCTTGTCTCCAGTGCAGACAACGTGCAAACTTTGAGCAGCCTGATCATTTAAATGCTTTTAGTGTATAACCATAAGTGTTCTGTTGAATGGCTGCAATCCTGGGAAAATTGTGAGAATATTATATATCCAGCCAGCCTAAATCTCTAAAAGATAAGTTGCATATTGGCTGGAGCAGATGCTGAAAGTTTAACCTGGGAAAGGAGAAAAACAGAATATTGTATAATATAACAGGTGTGGAATCTTGGGTCCTTCATTGCAGAACTTTTGTTTGTTCATTATTGCGATGTGGCCATCGCTGGCTGAGCCAGCAGTTACTGCCCATCTCTAGTTGCCTTTGAGAGCTGATGGTGAACTACCTTTTCGAATCACTAATCTGTTTGATGTAAGTACATTCACAATGCTGTTATTGAGGTAATTCCAAGAATGTGACCCAGTGACCAAAGAAAGAACAGCAATGTATTCCCAAGTCAGGATGGGGAGTTGCTTGGAAGGGAAATTGCCAGGTGATGGTGTTTCCATGAATTTGCTGCCTTTGTCTTTCTCGGGGGTAGTGATTATGGGTTTGGAAGGTGCAGTTTAAGGAGCCTGGGTAAATTTCTGAACAAACTCTAAAGGACATTGCTGCTAGACTGGGTCTGCAGAATGCAGAAAGGGAACCAGCAATAGGGGTTGCAAAAAGTAGTTGACATCATCCTCACCAATCAGCCTGCTGCAGGTCCAACCATCCATGATAGTATCAGTCAGAGTGACCACTGCACAGCCTTGTGGAGTAACCCTTAGGATACCATACATTGTGTTGCGTGGCACTACCATCATACTAAATGGGATAATTTCAAACAAACATAGAATAAATAGAGGGATATGGGCCAAATGCTGGCAAATGGGACTAGATTAATTCAGGATATCTGGTGTGCATGGATAAGTTAGACCGAAGGGTCTGTTTCCACGCTGTACAGCTCAATGACTCGACATAGCAACTCGAGACTGGCCTTCCATGTAGTGCCACGGGCTCAGCGGCAGCAGTCCTGTACTCAAAGATAATCTGCAACCTCATGACCTGGCAAATCTCCCATTCTATCAGTACCATAAGGAGAGATCAATCCTGTTCACTAAAGAGTGTAAAAGGGCATATCAAGAGCAGACCAGTCATTCCTGAAAATGAGGTGTCCACCTGATGAAGCTACAACACAGGATTACTTGCATGCCAAACAGCATAAGCAGCAAGTGATGGATCTTGGTGATTTCACAAACGAGATCAAGTCTCAGCTCTGCAGACCTGCCACAGCTAGTCGTGAATGGTGATGGACAATTAAACAACTCCCTGGAGGAGGAAGCTTGACAAATATCCCTCTCCTTAATGATGGGGGTGCCCAGCACATCAGTGCAAAAGATAAAACTTTTTTGTAACAGCCTTCAGCTAGAAGTGCCAAGGGAATGATCCGTCTTGGCCTTTTCTGGAGGTCCCCAGTATCACTGATTTCTGGTTTTAGCCAAATCAGTTCATCCCATGTGACATCAAGATAAAAAACAGAAGACATGGGCCCTGCAACATCCAGGCAATAGGACTGAAAAATTGTTCTTGAACTCCAGAAGTCCCTAGCCAGGTTGTTCCAGTACAACTACAAAACTGGTACTTACCCAACAGTACAGAAACTTGCGCAGGTAAATCCTGAAGTCAAAAAGCTGGATTAATCTGACCTGGTCAAATCTAACCTGTCTAATGAGCCTACTTTGAGTCTCATCAGTAAGCGGATGAAAGGGTTCAACAACAATGCTGTCTCTGTTTGTGTTGTTCTTGGCTCAACGAAAGACAATAAAGCTGTACCCCACAGAGGAGGTGAAAGTGACAACAAGTCATCACTGACTGAGTATGGTATCAAGCACAACTAGAGTCAGTATGGAAAGAGGGGAAAGACTCTACACTGTTTGGAGTCATACCTGGCTTAAAGGAAATGTTTGTAGTTGTTACAGGCCAGGACATCTCTCCGAGAGTTCCTCGGGGTAGCATGCTAATGAACTTTACCTGCTTCATCAGTGACTTTCCCTCTATCATAATGTCAGAAATGGGGATGTTATGGAATCATCGGCAAACATTCCCACTCATGTTCAGCATCGTTCGTGACTTCCCGAAAACTGGAGCAGTACACGTCTGGCAGCAAGGATCATTCAGTGACTGAAAGCCTAGGTGTATGAGATAGATAGAAGAAGGAGGTCCTTTATTCACAAGGAACAAGGAAACCTTCCAGCCTGACATTGAAGAAGCAGTCTGAGAAGATGGCCATTGCGGTCAGTTTCAGCTGTGTAGCTCTGGGGATTAAGATACAGGGCTGGAAGAAATTTAGCGATGAGATCTCTCAAGTGGTCAAGGCCAATGAAATATATTCTCAAATGCCATATCCCTCTATATACGGTAGTAGCATCAGACTGTTCACTGCACTGTATCCTTATCATTCACCTGCCAACAATCAACTTGACACAATCTGTAGCAGACCGCCTTCACTAATTCCCTAGACTGGCAAGTCAGCAACATTGGCAGCAGGGAGACATCCACCACTTGCTGGTGCATCAGGATTGATGTCCTGGATGGGAAGGCCCACGGACAGTGTTCTGAAAAATGTTAGAGAAATCCAACTTGACTGACTTGAACCTGTGCAGAGAGAAACAGAGTTAATGTTTTGAATCCAGAATGACTCCTCTTCAGAACATAGTAGACACAAATAGTAACTTTGTTTTTCTCTCTCCATGTGATGATACCAGACCTGTTGAGTTTTTCCAGCATTTTCTGTTATTGATTTCTTCAGGTTACTGTTGAGGTATATTGTCAGGAAAGAGCAAAGAGGGCATTAATAACATCCAGCCTGTCCTATGTCTGATGCCATTTTATCAGAATTTTTCAATACTCATGAACATAGCATTATACATTATGATAACACAGAAATAATGTACTTTAGTATATTTTCATAGCAGGTAGATTTTCTTTTAAATTATTAACCTTCCCCTTCCAAAATATTATACAGGATAAGGAATTTAGGTAAATTACTGCTTTGTACAGTGCTTAGTGAACATTGGGTGAATCTGTTGACTGGAATGAGTACATTCAAAAAGAATAATGACAGGAATTTGAGAGTGGGACTTCACCGATAAATACTGTTTGAAATGTACTGAGTCTGCTATTAAGCAAATTGAAATTTAACCTAGATTTCTTAATTTGAAACTTCAAGTCACTGACAGTTGTCTAGTAATGAGCAGTGAGAAGATCTCAAATAGACTCAATTATTTAAGCTGGCATTTTACTGGTCCATTATAACTATAGTGTTTCTAAAAGGTATGTATTAGAGGAATAGCTGCTAAAGAACAGAGCTGTGAGCAGAGAACACTGGGAGAATCTGCTATCTGGAGTGGCTTGCTTCACAGAGTAGCAATATGAGTTTGGTAAGAGTGGAAGGAGATGCTAAGTGATTTAAAAGACAGGAGCAAAACTGAATTGTCCTGAATCTTTTTGGGTGTTTGGACTACTGTTTTGTGTGTGCCTGCACCAATTAATTCTAGGGAGTAAAGCACAACATTGTTTCACCATCTCTTCCGTGTGATTTCAGGACAAAACCCTGTGGCTTCAGCGGATGCAACTTCTCTTTCCCCAATGCTGTCAGCATGGTATGCACAGGGCAAATGACGTCAACAGTATTATTGTTTGCTGATCATGTGATATGTTCAACCTGCTTTTTCCTAAATGTAGGCTGCCTCTCAAAGAAAAGTTATTTTTAAAAAATGTTGCAATGAGAAAGCGAACATCAAGGCGCACAGAAGGATCCAGACTCATGGATGAGGTGCTGGTGCCATAACTAGTGCAGGAGACACCATTGGCTCCACAGGGATTGTCATCATGCCCTCAAGGACCATCCACTGGATGGAGTAGGATCTATTGACCAGGACGTTCAACTCCTGGAATCTGCATCCAGGTACCTGGCAGCAGGGCTGCAAGAGGTCTAAAGATCTCACACTGGTGAAAATCCAGGCTTTTCCCTCCATTTCAGTTACACCTGTTGCTGCCTTTGTGTGGCTCCTCTACCATCCTGGGAAGATGTTGTAACACTCCCTGGCAAATGCACCAAAAAGCCTTGAAAAGCACTCCAGAGTACTTTCCAGCACTTCCAGTGGAGAAGTTCTATAAACAGAAGTTTCCTGTAAATAATCTGATTGCCTGTTCCTTTAAATAGTGCAACCACACATCTCATCTTGCAGCTACAGTCGTTTTGTTCAAGAATAGACAAATCCAGTACTGCCAGGATTTATGCTGTTCGATTTTGATATTCTGCTCTCACATCAAATTGTTTGGCAGAATACGCAGGGGATATATGCATGTACTTGAAAAATACTGCTGGTGGCCCACAGCACTGCCTGTGCCTGGGGAATCTAGGTAACTGTGCTTAGCAACACTAGAAGCAATGCTCTGTGAATTAATTGACCATATTTTGTGTTTACTTCCTTACTGAATTTTAAATACAAGAAAAAACCTCCCTTCATTTTCTAAACTTACTTCTAGTTTAAATATTTTACCAAGGTTAAAATAAATATAGTTTATTAATACATTAGTTGTTTATCCTTGGCTAAAAGTTGATCATTCCATTTTGAAAATAAGAAACACTACAGCAATAACGGTGTACAATTAGTACTAAATTCTAGCTTTTGTTTTTAAAAGGACATGAGGGTGACACTATTTAAAATTCCTAGTCCATCCAGCCTCAGTCGTTGAGAAACTAAACAGGAATTGAAACTTCTTTGCAGAAAATATCATGCTGACATGCTTAAATGATGAACACGAAATGAAGTAATTTCAAGTCCAAATGAAATTCAGACAATGTGTACTTTTCCATGTCTTAATGTATTGAAATACAAGATCTTAGACGAAAGTTCAAGCTGTGAATTTTTTTGAGATATAATTGGATGAATCAAGGTTGAGGGCAGCATGCCAGGTTAACTCAACAGAGGCTGATCTGACCCTGTGCCCTTGCTGCACATTCATGAATGAAGGTATTTGTTCCACACTTGCAAAATAAAACATTTTGAGCTAGCTGCTCAGTTATATTAAATTCATAGAAGACTTGATGTCTTATTTCTGTGGTTTCATCGTTGATGCAACCAGAAAAGAAAATTTACAGTGCCACAGCCAAGCATTTCCAAACATTGTGATGATGGCTACATTTACTTAGTGGAGAACTTCAAATGCTGGAAGTCTAAAATCAAAACTCTGCACACTGGAAATACACAGCTGTCAATGAATATCTGTGAGAAAAACAGTTTAACATTTCTATTAGGACCCTTCAAAAGTGGCATGGTGAAGAAATAACTCCCTTTCTAAGGACTTAGCAAAGCAGTGAAGGGAGAATATTCAGCTACTCTGATAGCATATTGAAGAACCAGAGCATCTTACTGCGTGACATTTCTCCATTTTCCATCACTTACATTTTTTAAGTTTGCAAGCAAATTAACAAAAGTCGATAGATTGACGTTTGGAAGGTTTAATTTTAATCTTCAGCTAGAATGAATAAATCACTCCCCTGCTTCAGAACCTGGCCAGTTGGCATTCCATTGCGGTATTTCTTATGCCCATTTCTAAATGTAATGGTGTGCTACAGTTCTGTCAGGGTGTCCATGTTGCCAAGGAATATGTACTTTTACCTACAGGTTTTACTATGGAGCTATAGTTCCACTTGGCTGATTAAGAACATCTTTGACTTTCACTGGCTGCCATTGGTATATGTGGGAGGAATTTACATTTTAATTCACATTTTAATATTCAATCTGAACACACTGACTTTGATCATCCATACCGGATGTGGAACTTGAACCCAGAGCTTCTAGTTCCGAGACCAGGATGCTACCCACTGCGCCCTTTCGACTTATACTACAGCAAAATCTGGTGAAATACATTCAGATGGAAACTTGACAGGTAAAATAGTCTTTTTGTAAATGACACTGAAAATAACCTTTTTCACCTCTGATCATGTGATGACAAAAATAACATTCTGTTCTTTCTCCTTTATTACTGGTTGCTTAGATGAGAAAGATTAGCAATTTGCCATATTTCAAAAGTGGGCAAAACTGAAACAATACAATAGCTGCAAAACATTTGGTCAGATTAGCTGCAGATAAACTGGTTTGATTTTGAGCTGTGTTATTGATTGTTTTTATATCTGTGCAAATGATGTTCATACAGGTGATGGATATATACCTTTGCAGATCAAAGGTTAACACAACAGGTTAGATTTTATTAGCTGCCATGGTCCCAGTGCCTCACCCCTGACGAAAAGGGGAGCCAACCCGTGTTACACAACAATTTAACACTGACAGCAATATCAATTGCTTCAATGCAAAAATCCAGCCCCTTCCATTAGATCAGATAGGCCAGTGGTTGTGTCATCCTAGCAGCACCATGGGGAGTCCGGTGTTAGTGAACATGAAGAGGGAATTGAATGAAGGGTGTAGATGGGATCTGAGTTTGAGAGACTGGTTGGAGGGTTAAAGGGGAGTGTTGACCTTGAGGTGTAGGGGTACGGGTGTCTCTTTTCCAATTGCTCAGCACAGCTGTAGCTGCTGGGCTTCACACATTGCATGTCCTTGCCCTGCCCTTTTATGGACGGGGCTGAATATGAACTGTTAAGTCCCCCAAGAGCCAGAAGTTCATCAGAAGTTCCCCATTGCATCTTGTCCCACTTGCCTGCCCATATAAACGGGGTAGGTGATGGTAAGGTCATTAAGTAGATTTTACCCCCTCCAAATCCACCAGTACTAGGGTAGAAAATCGAGCTCAATTGTTGCTGCTTTGTCTTTTAAAAAAGAACTTTTAATTTGGAAGGGCTTTTGTGTATTTTTAAGACATCAAACATGTTTAAAATGTTTAAGCATTTAAGTAACCATACATGTTTTTGTGTGATTATGTAAATTAATTATGGGGAAAACACTCCGATTGCCATAATTAAAAAATGCATATAGACCGCCATCGATAGTGTTAGTTTTGTGCCTAGAAGCGGTCTTAAAGATTATCGGTGAATAATAACATTTATTAGTGACACTATAAGGAAAATGTCCAATGTCTTTATTGTGTAGCTATTAACAAACAGTCATGAGAAAGAACAGGAAACTGAATTTGTTTTACTGGTTAACCAATAACATTTTCTTAAACCTTAGTTCTACAGTCGACTGGTGGATTTGCATAAATAGTGAAAAGAGATTTCATTTTTAGATGAAGTTTGAAGATTTTAACTAAAGTGTCTTTTCAGCCTCTCAACTTAAATTCACAAAGATGCAGATATTTAAAGATGCAAAAGAACTTGTTCCAACTATTGAAAATATAGCAACCAGCTTAAGTTAAATTATTTAAATACTAGACAGAAGGAATGTTTACGTTTTAATAGCTTTTGCAGTTAACTGTACTGGTTTTATATAAATTAAGTTAAATTATTAGATTAGTTATTGCTGATAAAGTTTTACATTTTCCAGGGAATATTAATGACACTGACCAACACTGCCACACAAACTTTGATTAAAGGGTCTCAGAACCCATTTGCACACTTAAAAGAGATTTTCTTGCTCTTTCTGTTGTGATATTAGAATAAGAGTTTCTCATTGTATCTTTTGCCTTTGGCACTTTCAGATTGGATTACTCTTGTCTATCTTGGCAACCGTTCCATCTTCCATAAACTTCAGTTGATGCAAATTCTGCTGCCCATATCCTATCCTGTATCAGGTTCTGCTTCTCTGTTACCCCTGTTTTCAATTATCTTCATTGACCTCAAGTTTTAAAATTCTGATTCTTATGCTTAATTCTCTTCATGACTTTATCCTTCCCTAACTCTGTAAACACCTCTAGTCCACTCTGTCGACATCTTCCCAATTTTTTGTCCTGCTCTTTGTAGCATATTGTGAAACTTCTTTGAAATAACCCCACAGAGGCCGGTATTTCGTCATTGTTTTGGCATTTTGCTGTGGGCTGATGTGGAGTCCATCTATTCAGGATATGTCCTGAGTGAGGATACGCAATTGCCTTCCATCAAGTGGTGTTCCTCAAGCTCAGTCAGGCTGGCAAGGGTATCCACTTCCATCAGAATGCCCTGCAAGTCATATTCTCCACTCGCCATATTTTCCAAAGATTCACCCGGTTGGAGTGCCTGCTTGAAGTCCAGTTGGGCTTCAGCTACTAGGCATTTTTGCATGGTTACATCGTTAATCCCACATACCAAATGGTCTCTCAATATCTCATTAATGGTTGAACCAAAGTCACAAGCATCAGCCAGTCATCTGAACCAAGACAAAAATCCCAATATGGATTCCCCAGCTTTTGAATTACTGAGTAAAAACAATGGCATCTTAGAATTAAAGAAGGCTTGGGTCATAATATTCTTTAAGTCTGTCAACTCTTGAAACGTTCTAGTATCTGGTGCCTCAGGGTAAGTTAGGCTCCTAATAACCAAAAAGGCTGCGGATCCAAAGGTGTCAGAAGAATTATTCATTGCTTTTCATATGTTCCAAAGTCATTTGCCCAAGGGGACAAAAAAGCATTCTTTTCATATACTGGCCCAGTCTTCGATGGCAGGACCAAACGAGTCAAGCTTCCCAAATAAAGGCATGATGCCATAAATGCTTTCCCCAATTCAAGGCCAACTGTTGCAAGCAAATTTCTTCAGGATCATGCTTTTCTGTCATCACCACTGAAATAGTTCCTCAGAGGCTGGTCTCCCATCATCAAGTCACTTTTTATTTACGTATGGAAGGTCTTTGACACTCATCTAGCTGCCTCAAAGCCAGCTCTCAGAGTGCTAGGATGTCTGACACTCCCTTTTTTTATGTCAGTCAGGGCTCACTGATTGGACTAGATTAACAACCTTAATCAGGGAACTCCAATTCAAGAATTTCTTCCATATATCCTTCCAACATTTCAATATGCAGATGAGTGCACTATTTTCCAAACCCATTTATCTTTTTTTTCCTGTTTGCATTTAGGTTTTCAAACAGTCAAAGCAATCAAAGTGAATTTATTTTCCAGCAACACCACCAGGTTTTTCAATGGAAATCTGCTCATCTGATTTGTCTGGAACAAGAAGAGAATTAACATACACTTGACAGGCCGGTTACACTACAAAGGAGTTCCTTTTCCATATGTTGGGTGGGTGATGGCTCCTTATCCTGTAGGAAAATGCTCTATGTAAATACAAACTGACTGTGAAGTTGGATGCTACTTTAGTCATGTCTTCAATACATTACATGAAAGAAGACATACTAACATTATCAGAATTCAGCAAAATCTAAATGCCAAGATTACTAACAAGTTATTAATCATTTCTGCAACTCCTGCCACACTGGCAGTAAACATAAAGTCATATCTTCTCAGGGCCTGAGTCAGAATAAGAACATGTGTAGTGCCATCTGCTGTAATTGTATAATATAGGACTGACTTAGCTGAAACTTGGTTGAGGCAAATGGGTATTTTGAAGGATGGTGCTGTTAAGTGACAATTCTTCTCGTAATTGTCATATATACCTTGACTTCAGTAATTAAACAAAGTTGATGCAGAGGTGGTCTGTTGCTTGATTGCAGACTTGTACTAGCAGCTAGATTTTCCTTTTCCTTCATTTTTGCCTGTCACTCATTAGTTCTCTTTCAGCCGTGGAAAGGTTGCTAGTGGATTGAAATGCCTTCTGAGATTTTCAGATGCTCTTCAGATCCATCTGAAATTGCACCTTCAGTGATGGAACTGACTGAGGAAGATTGGAAGCAATCTTCCCACTTCCATTTATCTAAAACACATGCATTAATGTAATAACAAATGTTCACGTAGATGTCAAATTTTAAGGGAACTGAGACAACTAAAGGGAAGGGTTATGATATGAGGGGACTAAAATTTAATCACCCTTTGAGATCCTCAGAGACCATTTTAACCAACTGCCAACCTTTTCCATGACTGACAATGAAAATAATAATAAATGATAATACCAAAAGTGAAAATCTTAACTTTTTGGGAATTATGTATTTTGTCATAACAAGCAAATTGCCTGGGAACTGGTGGAGTGCATTCAACTGAAAATCTATTTTGATTGATAATTGTTTATTAGTATTAAAAGAAGTACATTAAAACTGTGGATTGAATTCATATAATTTCTATGTTTTAAATACTGACTTTTGAACATTAAACTGAAGTATGAATTTGTCTCTACAAGTCTCCTTCTGAAATCCAGATTTGTCCAGCAAACTTATAGAAACAAATTAACTAATGAAATGTAAAAAAAAATGCAATAATGTATGTACAGTCAATTATAGTGTAAAATCCATTTTATTTAGTGTGAATAGCTGTGAAATTTTACTTTTTTAATAAAACAATGTTTCTGTGACTATGCTTATTTGAAGAACGAATCCTTACATCATAATATTTTTAATATTTAATCATAATTAATATGTACATGTAAAACAATAAGTTTACATTGAATAAATAATTAATTGTAAGTACCATGTCGAAGAATCAGTTGTGTGGCACTATTACAGTTACTTGAATTTGATTCTCAGGGCCAGGCTGCTTCGCCAGTGTAGTGTTGCTGGATGATATAGGTATGGGCAGGGGGTCTAACATCCCTTGCCTGGATTACAAAACATTTATTTTATGTTATCTTGATATCTCACAACCCAGATGGCTGATGTGATGCCACAGTGTTAAAGTTTAGTAATGAAAAAGAAGCATGAAGATACAAAATGAATCTAGTAATTTTGAAAAAATGTTTATTGCAAAATGTCTGGAAGTGCTCTGAATATTTTTGGAATTGCCTCATTGAGTTCCTGTGTTTGCCAGCAAATGTTATTTCTATCTTACAGAGCTGGCAGAGCAGTCAGTAACACAGAGGAGATGTAGACACAAGCTGCATCAAATACAGAGTTTGCATAGCTATGTCTCTGAGTAAGCAATATGACAAAGAAAGGACAAAATTTGAACTTTGTTCTCTGCCAGGATGCAGCTGGACTGCTTTGTGCTCAACAGTAGTGGGTTATGTGGATATTAAGCAAGTGCCATTATTGTCATAGATTTCTGCTGGGTGAGTGATGGAGATGTGGTACATTGAGCAACTTTTAATGTATAGTGATGTGATGGGTATCTTTTGCACTGATGTGCTAGACTCCCCCATCATCAAGGATGGGAATGTTTGTGCAGCCTCTTCCTCCAGTGAGTTGTTTAATTGAGCACCACCATTCACAACTTGATGTGTCAGGTCTGCAGAACCTGGATCAGATCCATTGTGAAATTGTTTAGCTCTGTCTATCACTTGCTGCTTATGCTCTTTTATGTACAAGCAGCCCTGTTTGGTAGCTTCACCAGGCTGACATTTTTAGGTATGCCTGATGTTGCTCCTGGCATGCCCTGCTGCACTCTTCTTTGATCCACTGGCTTGATGGTAATGCTAAAGTGGGGGATATGCTATGCCAAAAGGTTACAGATTGTGTTGGACTATAATGCTGCTGATAGCCAAACATGCTTCACAGAATGCCAGTTTTGATTTGCTAGATCTGTATGCAGTTGATCCTATTTAGCACAGTTTCACATAATACAGCAGTAGGCTGTGAGACTGCTTCACCATTCAGTAAGATCATAGCTGATCTGACCTTGGCCTCACTCCATTTTCCTACTTGTTCTCCACAACCCTTGACTCCCTTTTAGCTCAAGAATCAATCTATAGAAACAGAATGGAAGTTTCCATTGGTGTGGGCAAAGGCAAGGAAGTTCAGAAAATACAATGAGAATGAAAAGACATGAATTTCAACAGTGAGAAAAATTCTCATTATGCCCTTAAAGCTCAAACATCAAGTCCTGAATTTAACTATTAAGCAGTGACAACCTTATTTCCATGCATTTGTATCTCATTGTTAGCCCAACTCATCTCATTTACATACCGCTTCCACTTGTTCTGTTCTTCCCTGAGAAAATACATAGCACCAATTCCTGAAAGTCAGAGCAGTTATTTGGTGGTGGTAACTCACAGCCTCCTGCTTTGGGCCTTCACCCAACTCTCTTCATCACAATCTCACTTCATACTCCATGGACACCGTCTTCCTCCCAATACATTCCATTTAAGGTACTATCATCAAATCACTAACCTTACTACGTCATCATGCCTGCTTTTGGACCAACTCGCACACCATTTTAGCTCTTCAGGACTTCACTTTGAAGCTCAGGGGCACCTACAACTTGCAGGCTTCTGCTAGGTCACTTTGCATGCAGGAACACAATAATTACCCATGTCTAATCAGAATGCATGTTAGGGCTCTTAGTTTAATTTCCTGGTGTTCGTTCACTTTGAGCATATTTGGATGCTGCCAGGTTCTTGTCATGCATTGGCTTTTAGCTCAAAAGAAGATGCAGGCAACTTGCCGCCGCTTGGAGCACTGAACAGTCAGTAGTGTGGAGGTGTCACCGTACAGCACAGTTACATTGCACTTGTAGAGTATGCCAGCAGGTTATAAGGCAAACACACAGCTGTTAGAGCCCTTGCTGAGATGATGTTTGCTCTGTGGAGAACAATTTGTGTGTTAAAAGGAAAACAGACCAAACATCTTTTGCTCATTTTGTGAGGCCAGGCCTGGAAGTTAATTGCAGCTTGGATCCTGACCACCAGGAAAGCGTTATTTTAAACAGAAATTGGCTATTATCAAGGTCATTACCTGGGAAATGGTTTAATTAATTCTACGGAAACTTTATGCTCAAGCAGATGGCAGATGTATGGTAACTGGGACCTCATGGAGGTCATGGTTAGTCTGTCAAGGAGTGGTCAAAGATTTGGACTGTGTTTTCTGAGAAAAGGAATCTGGGTGTTGATGTTACAGCATGAAGATTTGAAAGCTCCCTTCCTAACCCCTCATGAACAGCTCTTGGAAGCTGATAGAATAGAAAACCAAGTTATAAGTTTTCCTGCCTTTATCTGTGTGAACTGAAAATGTAATCCTAATCAACATCTTCAGAAAATCATGAAAACGTAAGTAATCTGGCTAGTTTATTTTTATTTATCCCTTAACTGTGTTTGTTTATCTGTCTTTTGTGTGAATGGGGCTGAAAACAAAGGGTTTTAGGGGTTACAGCATGGACCAATTAGATTATTATTTCATTTTTCTTCTGCTAAAGTTACTATATGGTTCATTAGTGACTAATTCTTTTGTTTAAGGTACAAACTGGTATCTTGAATTGATTATTCATAGAGTCTGGGACTGTTTATTCAAAAGTCTAGTTAGGAGCCATTGGAATTAATTTTGAGCGTCTTTGGTTTTAGTTTCACTGAGTTGTGAATACAGCACTAGAAAGACTGACTTAGTTCAGCTGTCTGTCCCCGGGTTGTAACGCTACATGTGCTCCAGCTGATTTGAATCCACAGCCTGCTGTGGAATTTGAAAATGCTGATGCCCTCATGCTGCAGTGAGGAAGCAGGAGAACTACAATCACTTGTCTTCCATGGAATGTTCCATGGAATGATAAGAGAGGAACAGTGGCGCTATACGATATGCAGAGGTAGAGGTTGGAATGCCATGTCATGCTGTCCAGCATGTCTGCAACGAACCACCTTCTTCCACTGGGATCCACGAGGGACATGTCATGTCTGGTGAGTTGTCTAGAACTATCCACACATAAGATGCTGCCTGATTGTCAGAATCTCTGCTCTAGATACAACGAGCCTATGAGAGATCTGTGAGAGCCTTAGCTGCGATGATGGGGACTTTCCTCAGATCGAACAGCTCCTTCATCCTAAATCACAGCAGCTTTGACCAAAGTAACAAAGGAAGGATGCTTGTAAACACCATTTCATTGAACTGAGTTGCATGAAGTAATTATCCATTGCCTGCAAATATTTTGAGGCTGTCATCTCCTGTTCAGTCCCAACTGCAAGTGCATCTCCTAGGAAATAGGAGCAGGAGTAGGCCATTCAGCCCATTTGAGCCCAGAGTCTATAGAATCATGAAAAGTGACGATCTGGGATGTAGATTATTAGGCCCTGGGAATTTATCAGACTTTAATCCCATCAATTTTCCCATCATTATTTCCCAACTGACACAGATTTCCTTCAGGTTTTCCCTGTCACTAGACCCTGTATTCCCCAATATTTTTTGAATGTTATTTGCTGCAATTAACTTCCAGGCCCGGCCTCACAAAATGAGCAAAAGATGTTTGGTCTGTTTTCCTTTTAACACACAAATTGTTCTCCACAGAGCAAATGTCATCTGAGAAGGGCTCTAACAGCTGTGTGTTTGCCTTATAACCTGCTGGCATACTCTACAAGTGCAATGTAACTGTTCTGTACGGTGACACCTCCACACTCCTGACTGTTCAGTGCTCCAAGCGGCGGCAAGTTGCCTGCATCTTCTTTTGAGCTAAAAGCCAATGCATGACAAGAACCTGGCAGCATCCAAATATGCTCAAAGTGAACGAACACCAGGAAATTAAACTAAGAGCCCTAACATGCATTCTGATTAGACATGGGTAATTATTGTGTTCCTGCATGCAAAGTGACCTAGCAGAAGCCTGCAAGTTGTAGGTGCCCCTGAGCTTCAAAGTGAAATCCTGAAGAGCTAAAATGGTGTGCGAGTTGGTCCAAAAGCAGGCATGATGATGTAGTAAGGTTAGTGATTTGGTGATAGTACCTTAAATGGAATGTATTGGGGGGAAGACGGTGCCCATGAGTATGAAGTGAGATTGTGATGAAGACAGAGTTGGGTGAAGGCCCAAAGCAGGAGGCTGTGAGTTACCACCACCAAATAACTGCTCTGACTTTCAGGAATTGGTGCTATGTATTTTCTCAGGGAAGAACAGAACAAGTGGAAGTGGTATGTAAATGAGATGAGTTGGGCTAACAATGAGATACAAATGCATGGAAATAAGGTTGTCACTCTTAATAGTTAAATTTGTGGTTCCTTGTGAAGACAGAACAAAAATATGTATTTAATTGGGTTTGTCATCTTTGTTCCCCTTATAACTTCTGTTTCTGACTGAAAGGGACATTTATCTTCATTAATCTTTTTCTCTTCACATAGCTATGGAAGCTTTTGCAATCAGCTTGTATGTTCTATGCAAGCTGACTCTATTTTTCGTCTGTTAATCAATGACTTTGTCCTCTGCTGAAACCTAAATCTGATTTTTTTTTTTTTTTTTTGGCCAATTTGTATTCCTTTCCTTGGATCAAATACTATCCCTAATTTCACTTGTTAGCCACGGTCAGGCCCTGTTGCCGGTCTTATTTTTGAATAAGTTCAGAGTGAATAATTGTTACAGTTCTCCTGGCACTCTTTAAATGTTTGCTATTGCCTGTCCACTGTTATCCCTTTCAGTAATGTTACTTATTGTATCATTGTCAGCTCATGCCTCATATAATCATAGTTTCCTTTATTTAGATTCAGGACCTTAGTCTTAGAATCATGACGTCACTCTTTATTTTAGTGAAGAATTGTCTCATGTTATGGTCACTCTTCACAAAGAGATCTCACACAGCTAAATTGTCAATTATTCCTTTCTCATTACATCATATCCAGTCTAGGATGACCTGTTCTCTAGGTTGTACGTTGAAGTATTGATCCAGAAAACCATCTCTTACTCTAGGAATTCTTCCTCTATGGCATTATTATTGATTTAATTTGCCCAATCTGTATGTAAATTAAAGTGTCCCATTATTACAGCTGTACCTTTGTTGCTTGCATCTCTAATTTCCTGTTTAATGCCTTCCCAAATTACCATTAGTTTGGAGGTCTACATGCAAACTTTAGTATTGTCTTCTGCCCCTTGTTGTTTCTAAGCTCTCCCCATTCAGCTTCACTGGAGCTAATATCCTTCCTCACTATTGTTTTAAAATCCTTAACCAGCAGTGCTACCCACCTTTATTCCTCTTTGTCTGACCTTCTTAAAAGCTGAGTACTACTTAATATTCAGTTCCCATCCCTGGTCACCCTGCAGCTACATCCCAACCAAATCATCCTTATTTATATCTATTTACATGACTAATTTATTCACTTGTTGAGCAGAGCATTCAAAGTTAAGTTGACAAGGGCTTGTCTTTTCACATTTTGCAATGTGACTCTGTTTGATTCTTGTCCTTGAATTCTCTGCCTAACACTTCTTACTTCCCATTCTGTCTTTTGTTATTGTACTTGTTTTGTCTTCTGTCTCCTGTCTCCCTGTATATGTTGCCTTTCCCTGCCCTTTTAGTTTAAACCCTCCCCAACCATTCTAGCAGATACTCTACCTGAGACACCAATTCTGGTTCTTGCCAGGTGCAACCTGTCCAGCTTGTATTGGTCCCAATTCTTCCAGAACCAGTCCTAATGTCCCATGAATCTGAAACCTTCCACTTGAATCATCTCTCCAGCCATATATTCATCTAAAATATCCTGCCATTTCTATGCCTAGTAGCACATGACACTGACAGCAATCCTGAGATCACTACCTTTGAGGTCCTACTTTTTAAACCTGCTTCCTAACTCCCTATATTTTGCTTTTAGCCCTCATCCCTTCTTTCTTTACTCAGGTGTTTGATACTAGTGTGTACCATGACTACTGGTTGTTCGTTCTCCACTCTGGAACATGCTGAAGCTGCTCCAAGACATCCTTGACCCTAGCAGGTGGGAGAGCATCCTGGAGTCTCATTTACAGCCACTGAAATGTCTATCTATTCCCCTTAAGATTGAATCCCCAATTACTGTAGTTTCCCTCAAAGTATTCCTCCTCCTCGCTCAGTGGTTAGTAATGCTGCTTCACAGTGCTAGGGGCCTCGGTTCAATTTCAGCCTCGACTGTTCTCCCCACGTTTGTGTGCGTTTCCACTGGGTGCTCTGGTTTATTCCCATAGTCCAAAAATGAGTAGGTAGGTGGATTGGTCATGTTAAATTGCCCCATAGTGTCCAGGGATGTGCAGACTAGGGGACAGGGTGGGGGGGTCAATGCAGAGTCGACAGGCCGAACAATCACTTAATATTCTGTTGCCAAAACTAATTAATGTAAAAAATGGCCCATGTTTTCAAATATCTGATCACTACGAAAGCAACTGATTGATACAATTATGAACCAGGATTTTTATTAGTTAACTTGATGAAAGCAATTGAGAAATATGCAGTGACCAATTTTTACATTTTATTTGTTTTGTTTAAAGTGCACTTTACATTGTGTAGAGCCACAATACAACTAAAGAAAAATGAAAAGTTTTAATACAGTAAATCACAACACACAACAGTCAAATTGAAAACATTGTAATTTCAGTTGCATAATTTTTAAGACTCACATTGGGCCCTTTTGGGAAAGGAAACATTTCATTTTGTTCATTGTCCAGCTACTTTGCACCTATCTGATGAGCAGAGTTCTGCTGATCATTGCTGTTACCGTTTTAAAAAAAGGGTAAGTGACCTCTTAGTGACATTTTAAACAATAAATGGAAAAGTATAATGGTCATGTGTCTGACTACGGGATTCACGGATTACTTGTTTGAACAGACTATCTAGTTTAAGAGATGGAAATGTATTATTGAATCTTGTCTGTTTAAAATAACTTGTCCTGACAGCTCAAGTGACTGGGAAGGGTCTTCATCTATAGAATCATCTTATTAAGGAGCTCAAAAATCATCAGGTGGAATCATGATCTTCAATTTTCAATATATATCCAATACTTGGACAAGATTGCAGAATCTTGGGAATGTGAAGGTAACAAACCTTCTGATATCTTAATGCACTTGAATTACGTAGATAGCTAATTTTAAAAAAAAACACACACAATTAGTTTGCTTATATTGTTCTGTTATAACCCACATCCTGTCAATACTTTATAAAAAGTTACATGGTGGTCAAAATCTGAATATGATTTTCAAATAATATGATCAGAGGCAAGTTGCAATGATGTCTTTCTTTATATATACCTGATACAGTGCCACATTCCATGTAAAATTGACATTGTTGCTTTCTATATTTATTTAAAATAATTGTTTTAATTTTTTTTCCACCTAGTAGTTAAACAAATAAAACAAAAATTTCATTGCTGTACGTGAATAGTTCTATTCATTACTCTGCTCCTGAATGTCAGCGTACAAGCACTGGTTGGTACAAATGTAAACAATTACATTAAACAGATAAATCATTATGTATACAGAGATTTCTTTAAAATGTAAATGCAATTTACAGAGGTAATCAAATTTTTTCCAACCAAACTGGTCAAATTTAGCACTGTAACATTGTTTTATTGTCAGCCACTGAGTTTGGTACTTGTCCATAAGTCACGTTTCTCAATGTAATCCCATCCTAAAGGGAAAGTATTAGATGCCAAAACTAGGAATTCTGAACAAAGTATAATTCTAATTTAGGGATTTACCACACCCAAGGTTGTTTTGGCAGAAGCCTAACTGCTAAAACCAACATTTACGTCTTTTTGAAAATACCGTTCTGATGAAGGGTAACTGGACTCAAAATGTTAACTGTTTTTCATTTCTCCACTGATACCCCCAGACCTGCAGTCTTTCTCCAGCAATTTCTATTTCTGTGACTGGTTTTAATCAGTTTCAATCAGTTTCAATATACTGACGTGTAATTAAAGTGACAATTAAAAGTTGATTTAAAACTGCCGAGACAAACTATGCTGACTCAGCAGATTGCTCATATTATGATCGTGAGCTTTAATGTCAAGGAAGATACCACAATTGAATTAAATCAAAAATAATCAAAGCATTTAGGCCCCTGCTTCCTAGATACGAGCAAGTAGCTTATGGATATCCATGATATGGGGAAATGATCACCTTGACTGTTGTTACTGTTAACACTGGCATGAGTCACTACTTTTAGAAGGTGAGGAAATGATATGGAGGGTAAAGAAAGTGGTTAAATGGGCAAGAACTGTACCAAATCGGTTTTAAGCTTTATAGGAGTTAGTCTCCGTAGGAGTAAATAATAAACTTTATATAGTGGAGGTTTTCAGTTACATTAACTGCAGCACTTACATTAACCATTCAGTGATCTTTTACATGCATGAGGCACAGATGGCGCCACTGTCATGGGGCATCCATTGCCACCAAGAAGGCCCACGAGGAGTATCAAACAAAAAGAACTTGCACCCAATCAAAGCCCACGGGGATAGGACTACTGTTATGTTTTACCAAGCAATTAACAATACGAACATTTTTCTAAACAGCAAATTAATTGATCCTTTTTAAAATAGCATATTAGCATGATCAAAAGAGTAGTACAAAACAATTTAGAACAATCTCACAATACATTGCTAAATATACTGATTTTAGACAAAGTAAAATCATTGAATACTGTAATATAGTCTGTAATACAGTCCTGATAGACCCATTTCAAATATTGCCAAGAAAAAAAACAAACATTGTATAAGCTGATGGAAAAAGTTGAAAAATAGAGGATATTGAACAAAAAGTGATTTCAAAGCACTAATCTCACTGGGCAGTTTAGGTGACAAGAACAAAATAGTGCACTTTCAGTGGTTTTTAAGCCAGTTGAAACATTGCATAATTTCAAGATAATAATTTTGCTCAATTTTTGGGGAAATTTTCTTTTTGGAAAGCTTTTAATTGCCATTACAGCATATTAATCAATAAAAATAGTGGTGATTCCACTACAGTTAAAGATCCTTAAAATGTGGATGTCAACTTACTAGACGAGACAGACCAGGCAAATGTTGTCTCTACCAGACACTGTACAGATTGTTGATAAGGAGATGAGCAATTTTGGCAGTTGAAAAAAAAAGTGCAGATTTATCATAATCTATAACTTCAATTAGTAGCTATTCAACATAATTGGTGGATTTTGTACTGAAAAACAAGTAAATTTTCATCTGGTACGTGTCAGGACGGTTCTTTTCAAATTTTGAAATTTAATAATTTTTTTGAGCCCATTAAATTGGATTTTGTGGGAGTTCTACTGCAGTTCCAGCATTTCAAATAAGTATCTGGTTTGATTATTTTATATTATTCAAGTGTACATATCAATGTATCTCTATACTGTGAAAGCTCAACAGGTCTAGCAGCCTCTGTGAAGGAAAAAACAGTTAACGTTTCGGGTCCGGGCACCCTTCCTCAGAACAGGTCACCGGACCAGAAACATTAACTCTCGTTTTTTCCTTTACAAATGCTGCTAGACCTGCTGAGCTTTTCCAGCAACTTTATTTTTGTGCCTGATTTACAGCATCCACAGTTCTTTTGGTTTTTATCTCTATACTCTCACTGATCATTAACAATGAAGATTATCGCAAAGCATTGCTGACCTAATGAATATTTCGTTACACACACGCAAACCTTAGTATATGAGATACCAAGCAGTACTACTTGATTATTATTCAAAACCTTACTAAGAGCGAACAAAGAGACAGCAAGAACTGCAGATACTAGAGTCTGAGACGACACAGTATGGAGCTGGAGGGACAACTTTCCTGCTCCTTCGATGCTGCCTGACCTGCTGTGTTCCTCCAGCTCCATGCTATGTTGTCAAGGGCTAACAAAGCTATTTTAGCCTATATTACACAAGTTCTGTAGCAGCACAGAGAATATACATTGTAATCTGATCAATCCCGACAAGACTTTTGGTAGTTCTAGAATACAAATCTGCATTGGTTTCTTGCATTGCATTGCATAAATATGTAGGTTTACTTTAAAAGAAAGTCTTGCAGTTAACATTTACTATTGCAACTTCCCAACCCCAGATAAAGGTTTACAAATTTTTGTCCAACCAGTTTATATAATTGTTCATGATCCTGTTTCCCACATCAAAGTTGGTAGGTGGAAGTGCAAATATCATGGCACCATGAAACCCATCTTCATAATGGTCAACAGTCACTTCTATTCCAGCATCTTCTAAACGCTTTGCATACATTATTCCATCGTCTCTTAGAATATCATGTTCGCAGGTCAGGATGTAGGCTCTTGGTAATAACTGTAGGATTTCTTTATCTGCAATTAATGGAGCTGCTCTCGGGTCCAGTAATGCTGGCAATGCCTTTATAACCTGTGGACTTCCCATTACCTGGATAACAGGTTTGTAGTTTTTAATAAAGGATTGTGGTAGAAGGTTTGTCCAGTTTAAGTGAGCACGGATAGAAGTCAACTGACTAAGGTTTGAAGCTGTGTGGTTGTTGACCAACATTGCCTGGACAAAACTTGGGTCACCATTCAGGTACTCTAGCCAAAAACGGGCCATAACATGTTTGTATAGGATAGGTGTAGCCACATTCTGTTGGTAGGAAGGAGTATTGAAGTCAAGAGCCTGAAGTACTGGATATATAAGAGCTTGAAGCTTGAGTTGGATGTTGATGCTGCTGTCTACAACAAGCTGCAAACACAAAACAAGAATTTAAAGATTTGTTTTTTTTGTGTTTGAAGTATTTGAGAGGGACCGGACACTACCAGAGCTTTCAGCCACGTTACAATGTTTGCACTGTAGTCTAAGTCAACAGAACCCGATGTTTTCTGAGAACTTATTGAACATTCACCTTTATAATGTTGATTGTCATATTGCTTAAATAATTTTGAAAGTATACATACTATTTAATAGAAGATTTACAGTGCATTAATTAAAAATCACTAAGGTATTGAGAATAGACAGATGACAGAATAAATCAAAGATCGAAAAGAGAGAGAAAGACATTTCATTTTTAGAATGCCCTTCACAACTTCAGGACATCTGAAAGCTCAGCTGTGTTATATTATATTATTGCACACAGCAAGATCCCACAAACATTCTTTTTTAAGCAATGTTAAATGAATGATGAGTTCATGCTGGGACACCAGGGACAACATCCCTACTCTTCTTTGAAGAGCAGTATGACATCTTTATGTTTATCTGACAGCAGATAGAGCTATGATTTAACAAAAACACAAGTTCTTGACCATTAACAGAACTGAAACCATGTTGTATCTCACTGCACAGACGCTGCCAGTTCTGTTTGTATTTCCAACTTTCACTATTTTTTATTATCATTTTAACATTTCATTTGAAAGAGTGCACAACATTCCATCAATACTATGCTAAACTTTTGGCCTAGATTTTTGTACTCAGTTGGAGTGGGATTTGAACCCAGAACCTTCTGACCAAGAGGTGACAGTACTACCAACTGAGTCACAGCTGACAGACCAAATGATGACAGCAAACTCATAACTGATGTCTTTTGTTCAGTCATAAAAAAGCAATGGAGAGATTTTTTAAAGCTGCAAATCATTATTCAGTTTTAAACGTTACAATGATATAATCACCTTGTACGTCTCTGCGTCACACCTGGGAAAAATATTAGCGTTCACATTTTTAAAAATTCTCTAATTTTGCAAGAATATCTTAATATTTATAAAAATGAACATACATATAGAGTTGCTTTCCTCTTCACTATCATATGCATCTGCATATTCCTGAAAAATTGATTTATTCTCGTTCTAAGTTTGTTCACAACATTGGGAAGTATCATACTAATTAATAAGAGGCTATCAAATAATTTGTTCCAACTAGTGTAAATTGATCAATCCATAAATGAAAGATATTACCTGCTGAGTTACAGCAGCAGCTAAGTTTCCTCCAGCACTGTCACCAGATACTGCAATTCGATTTGGATCCACTGAATACTGGGACAAAATCTCAGGCTGTAGGAAATGCTTGGTGGCACTGTAAGCATCATTAAACTGCTCAGGGAAATGAACTTCTGGGACAAGACGGTATCTAAATTTAAGACCACACAAGGTAATTAATTTCAATAACATTCAACTTATAAAGCTTGACCTGTTGCAATTTTTTTCTAAATGAGAAATGAAACAAAGGTAAGTTGGTACTATAAATATTTGACCCTAATATTCAAAATGTCATATCTAATTTAAGAATTTTTTGTCTATAGTAATCTATAGCAGTGTCAACAACAATGTTGATCATAAACATCCAACAACTATCTTCATTACATAGGTAATATTTGTTTTCTTCCTCATTGCTAAGTTTCCAAATGAACAATATTCAACCTTATTGCAAAGGGAAATGGTGGAAATGAGTCACAGGCCTGAATAAACTTATCACATTTTTGGAATTCCTTTTGGAAATTGGTCAGCATTGAGTAGAGCATGTGTTGGCTGTGCATTGTCAGGGTTTCTGTTTTTGCAGTGCCCTAAGGAGAGGTCTTCAAATAGAATTACAGAATTGTATAGGACAGAAGGAGGCCATTTGACCATTTGTGTCTGTGTTGGCTCCCAAAACAGTTACCCAGCTAGTCCCACGCTCCAGTCCTATCTCCGTAGCTGTCTAACTCCTTCACTTTCAAATATATACCCAGTTCTCTTTTGAAACCTTGTATGGAATCCACCTTCACCACTATCAGGCAGCACATTCCAAATCCTAATAACTCTGAGTAAAGAAGTTTCTCCTGTCTCACTCCTAGCTTTCTCCCCAACCTTGAAACTGTGAGCCATAGTGACTGACATACCAAGTGGTGGAATCAGAACGTCCCTTCTTAATCTCATGAAAATTGTTCATAATTGGCTAATGTTACTTACTTCAATCCTTGCTGATCAAAAATTATACGGAGAGTCTTCCTCAAATGCAATTAGCATTTAGAGATTTTTTGTAAAAATAAACTCAACTTGGGGAGGCGATGGTACTATTGCTGGTCTGTTAATCCAGAGACCCAGATAACATTGTGGGGACCTGGGTTCAAATCCCGCCACGGCAGATGGTGGAATTTGAATTCAATAAATATCTGGAATTAACAAACTAACAAACAAACAATCTAATGATGACCGTGAATCCATTGTCAAATGTCAGATAAACCCACCTGGTTCACTAATGTCCTTTAGGGAAGGAAACTGCCATCCTTACCTTTTCTGGCCTACATGTGTCTCCAGACCTACAGCAGTGTGGTTGACTCTTAACTGCCCTCTGGGCAATTAGGAATGGGCAATAAATGCTGCCTAGCCAGCGACACCCTCATTGCGTAAATGAATAGAGGAACTTCTATCTGGTAGTTTCCTAAACCTGTAGTGGTATACAGCCAAGAACAAAGGGCCAAAGCCCATGATTCAGAACCTTTATCTGACAGTGAGTGTACAAATAAATTTTATTATTGCTATGTTATATCCAGCCACAAATAAACCTCTTGGTATTGTCATGTTGAACATGGTTATGTTGAAATTGTTACACGAGAAAGCTGTAGTTGTTGAGAATTGACAGATTCCCTTTCACGAGAGTGAAAATAATCTAATCACGATACAACTTTTATTTGAATTTTGAATAACTGGTGGTTGGATGTCGATAGTATATACTATTCAAAATAATAAATACCCCAGTTAATCAATCCGGAGTTTTCTGCAAAGGCATATGGAATTATCCTAAAAATGCATCAACGGAGGATAAAGCTAGTTTGCAATTACTTACTCGATAGAGACAAGAACAGCATTCATATCTTTTGCCATCTTCCGACAAAGGTGATCATATGATCGCATTCCTGTACAAGACAAAAACAGTATAACATTGTTAGCAGCCATTTGTATAGCTAACCAAAAACAACTTTCTGGTCAATGCTTATTAAGGGTTGTTGGAGGCCTTCACGGTGTGGGACTTCTGATACAGATGTTACAATAGAACATAGAACAGTACAGGCCCTTCGGCCCACAATGTTGTGCCAAACTTTTACCCTAATCCTAAGGTCTACCTAATCTCCACCCCTACCTGATACTATCATCCATATGCCTGTCTAATAGCCGCTTAAGTGCCCCTAATGAGGCCGACTCCACTACCCTCTCCGGCAATGCATTCCACGCCCCCGACCACTCTGAGTAAAGAACCTACCTCTGACGTCTCCCCTGTATCTACCTCCACTCACTTTAAAACTATGCCCCCTCATAATAGCTACCTTCACCCTAGGAAAAAGTCTCTGGCTGTCTACTCTATCTATACCTCTGATAATTTTGTACACCTCTATCAAGTCACCTCTCATCCTTCATCGTTCTAACAAGAAAACCCTAGCTCTCTCAACCTTGCCTCGTTAGACCGTCCCTCCGTTCCAGGCAACATCCTGGTAAATCTCCTCTGCACCTTTTCCAACGCTTCCACATCTTTCCTGTAATAAGGCGACCAGAACTGGCCACAATACTCCAGATGTGGCCGAACCAGGCTTTTGTATAGCTGGAGCATAACTTCACAGCTCTTGAACTCAATCCCTCTATTAATGAAAGCTAACACACCATACGCCTCCTTAATAACTCTATCCACCTGGGTGGCAGCTTTCAGGGAACTGTGGACATGAACCCCAAGATCCCTCTGCTCCTCCACACTGCCAAGAATCTTTTTGTTAACGCTGTATTCTGCTTTCAAGTTTTTCCTTCCAAAATGAATCACCTCTCACTTTTCAGGGTTAAACTGCATCTGCCACTTCTCAGCCCAGCTCTCCATCCTATCAATGTCCCTTTGTAACCTAGAACAGCGCTCTGCACTGTCCACAATGCGACCCACCTTTGTATCGTCCGCAAACTTACTAATCCACCCTTGCATTCCTTCATCCAAATCATTTACAAAAATCACAAATAGAAGAGGACCCAGAACAGATCCTTGTGGTACACCACTCGTAACTGAGCACCAAGTTGAATATTTTCCGTCCACTACCAGCCTTTGTCTTCTAAGGGTCAGCCAATTCTGAATCCAATCTGCCAAATTTCCCCCTATCCCATGCCTCCTTACTTTCTGCATGAGCCTACCAGGGGGAACTTTATCAAACACCTTACTTAAATCCATGTTTACCACATCCACTGCTCTACCTTCATCCACGTGTTTGGTCACCTCTCCAAAGAATTCAATAAGGTTTATGAGGCATGATCTACCCCTCACAAATCCATGCTAACTATCACGAATCAAACTGTGCCTTTCCAAGTGATCATAAATCCTATCTCCGAGCCCTTTCCAATAATTTGCCCACCACTGACGTAAGACAAACTGGCCTGTAATTTCCAGGGTTATCCTTATTCCCTTTTTTGAACAAGAGAATGACGTTTGCCTTTCTCCAATCTTCTGGCACTATACCCATGGACAGTGAGGATGAAATTATCATCGCCAAAGGCCCTGCGATTTCTTCCCTCGCTTCCCATAGAATCCTTGCATAAATCCCATCAGGCCTGGGGGACTTATCTATCTTCAACTTCCTCAAAATTCCTAGCACATCTTCCTTACTAACATCGACCTCCTCTAGCCTACCAGCCTGTTTCACACTGTCCTCCTCTACAACAAGGTCCCTCTCAGTTGTGAATACCAAAGAAAAGTATTCATTAAGGACCTCTCCTATCTCTTTAGGCTCTGTGCACAAATTCCCTTTACAATCCTTGATCGGTCCTACCCTTTCTGTGGTCATTCTATTATTCCTCACGTACGTGTAAAAAGCCTTGGAGTTTTCCTTGATCCTATCTGCCAAGGTTTTCTTATGCCCCCTTATAGCTCTCAAGCCCTTTCTTCAGCTCCTTCCTGGATAACTTGTATCCCTCTAGAGCCTATTCCGTTCCTTGTTTCCTAAACCTTACATAAAGATCCTTCTTCCTCTTAACCAGTCGTTCGATGTCTCTTGAGAACCAAGACTCCCTCACTCAACCGCATCTTCCCTGCCTGCTAGGGACAAACATATCGAGCACACGCAGTATGCATTCCTTAAACAATCTCCACATTTCAATAGTGCTCTTCCCTGACAGCATCTGTTCCCATTTTAATGTTACCCAGTTCTTGCCTAACAGAATTGAGATTACTCTTCCCCCAATTATAAAGCTTACCCTGCTGTATGTACCTATCCTTTTCCATGACTATTGTAAAAGTAACAGAGTTATGATCGCTACGGCCAAAATGCTCTCCTACCAACAGGTCTAACACTTGGCCTGGTTCATTGCCAAGCACCAAATCCAAAGTGGCCTCCCCTCATGTTGGTCTATCTACATACTATGTAGGAATCCTTCCTGAAAGCACTGGATAAAAACCGCTCCAACTAAAATGTTTCCAATCAATATTTGGAAAGTTGAAGTCACCCGTGACTACAATCCTGTGACTTCTGCACCTTTCCAGCATCTGCCTCCCAATCCGCTCCTCCACTTCTCTGCAACTATTAGGGGGTCTGTAAAAAAACTCCCAAAGTGACTGCTCCTTTCTTGTTCCGGACCTCAACCCAAACTGACTCTGTAGACATATCATTCTCGAGCTGCCTTTCAGTAGCTGCTATACTAGCCCCGACGAGCACTGCCACTCCCCCGCCTCTTTTTCCACCCTCCCTATTTCTTTTAAAGCATCTAAATCCCGGAACTTCCAACAACCATTCCTGTCCCTCAGTTACCCAAGTTTCTGTAATGGCCACAACATCGTAGTTTGGGAGTAGTGAAGTCACTGTTTGAGCATGGCAGAAGCAGGCTCTGTAATGTTTACTGATTGCAATATTGCTGTCCACACATGTCAGTCAACAATCTCTCATACAATTAGCATCCTATTTGTAAGCTGGCCACCCTCTAGTTCAGTATGGTAGCTTGAAGGTGGCTGTGATAGCTGACTGATGCAGGATGAGTGAGCTGATGCCAGGGGAGCAGTTACTCACCAATGATCGGTGCATGAACACACAACAACTGCACATTCAATGAGGGAAACTCTTTAATATGATGTGATACCCACAGAGAAACGTGTGCAATTGATGCCTTCCACTACCCTGGCAAACCATAGACCCGAAGCCACAAGCAAAGGAGTCTTGGACTTGTGTACAGGAGCAAATAAATTTTGCTTCAACTGCGTGGAGCACTAGTTAGGTTGCCCTTAGAGTGTTGTGTGCAGTTCTAGTCTCCTGCCTAAGTAAGACTGATTCCTGGGCTAAAAGAAGAGATTGAGGGGACTGGGCCTCTATTCTAATATTATTTTTGTTTTCAATTTTCTATTATTGCAATGTAAAAACTAACTTTGGGAGTTATAGTGAAAAAAAAAACTTAACTGAAGAAAGGTTGTCACAATCCAGCTTGAGATTAGCCTCGAAGCCAACAAAATAAGGTTTTGTAGTTGGCTTCCAACAAGTTTCAGTCTAAGTTACTGATGGCTTGTTAACTTTTTAAACTTTTTTTTAAACGGATAAATATGTATTTCAAATGAAACATTAAACATGAAATGTTTTGTAATATAGTATCTGGTAAAAATGTACTGTTATACAGTCCTAGTTCATTTCTCTTTTGATTATTTTCCAGTGTAAACTTCTCATAAACAAAGATACATTGCCTCTGGCTCCACAGAAAATAGTGTCAGTTCCAAAGTGTACAATATATTTTTATATATTGCATGCTACAGTTGTTCTACAATCAAATGAATTGTGTTCACAATTTCTGCAATTGTGAAACTTTTCAATCCTAGTCTGGTTTACTTGTCGCAGTGTGAATTGTTATTTCACTTGACTTGGATTCTAGATTCTATTCCAAACTATGGCTGACTCCTGAATCCCTCCCTTGCTCAGGTTAAGCAAAGTAGCCCACATAAACCAAAGCAGATTTGACCTTTCTCTTATTCTATGAAGAGTTAATCCTCAGTTAGCTGATTAGAAAATAATCTTATTGTTAAGGTTTGGAAGAGCCAGCCCATTGACAGTCTCTTTGTCCTCATTGCAGGAATGTGGAAACATGAATGAAACAAGAAATAAGAGCAGAAGTTGCTGGAAAAGCTCAGCAGGTCTGGCAGCATCTGTGAAGAAAAACCCAAGTCAACCTATCGGGTCAGGTGACCCTTCCTCAAAACGGATGGTAGCTAGGAAAACGTTGGTTTATATCCAGAAGATAAGGAGAGGAAGTGGGGTAGGGAGTAAACGATAGGTGGGGATAGAGTCCAAAGAGAGAGAAGAGCAGCTGGACAGAAAAAGGAGTTGATAACGATTTGGCTAGGAGGGCGAGTAGTTGTTAATGGGGACTGTTAGTGACTAAAAACAGGTGGTGTGTAGGGTAGGGGGCTAGGGTATGAGAGAGCTTAGGCCCTAAAATTATTGAACTCCATATAGAGTCCAGAGGTATACAGGGTTCCGAGGAAGGGTCTCCAGACCCAAAATGTCAACTGTTTCTTCCTTCACAGATGCTGCCAGACCGCTGAGCCTCACCAGCAACTTTGTTTTCGTTCCAGAGGTTTACAGGTCCCCAAGCAGAAAATGAGGTGTTGTTTTTCCAGCTTACGCTGAGCTCCACTGGAACTGCAGCAAGCCTGAGACAGATGTTGGCCAGGAACAGGTTGGTCGAACACGGTTGAGGGCCCTGTTGTCAACGGTGTTCGGGGATCCTCAGTTGAGAAAGAAGATGGACATTTTGGAGGCTCCCTTGTCCAAGTCGGCCTCATCTGAACATACGCAACAGAGACGGAGGAACTGAGAGAATGGAATGGAGTTTTTTTTACAGGAAGTAAGGTGCGAGGATGTATGCTGCTAGCTAGCAACATCTGGTTTTGTTCTTGATTTACAGCATCCGCAGTTCTTTCACTTTTTATAAGAAGTAAGATGATGGAATGAGAAAGGGTTTATGTTTAAATGCTAAATCCAAAAAAAGTCAAGATGAGTCTCAGAGACCTGCAGAAGCAGCCGTTGTAGAACTGTTTCCTTTGTTCAAAGCTTTTTTACTTGATACAATGTGTGTATGTGGCTATGCTACTTGAGTACATGAATAAATTCCTCTTCCATTAAATCCTACAGTCCCTTTGCCTATATTAGAAAACCAGGGTCAATACTAACAGCAAATGAGAGATAATGAGCAGAATGTTCTGGGCCCACTTAAAGCTTTTAGAAATGGGAACTTTGAATTTTTGCCTTCCGTCTAATAGTTTTCCTGCTGTAGGGTAAAGATTTCTTATCAAGCTTTCAGGTGTGTCAGCTTTCCCAACCTTCATGTTTTGCATTAAGTGGCAATATTAATAACACCCAACCTGCTAGAACTGTATTGACAGGCAAAATGTGTACTCACAAATCTGACAATAAATACTAGATATGTGCCTGGCAGTGGAGACTGCTTCCTCAAAAGCTCCTTCATAAACAGTTTCTGTGCACAAATGCTTGTAGTTTGAGGGATGAAGGTTTCCATGTTGATCATCTCAGCAGAAGTCTGTCACTTGCAGTCTGGCTTGTTGTTGTTGTTGTTGTTGTTAAACATTTACACCATTTGGACTGAAACCTGACCAGGCCAAATAGCTTGCCTAAGTGAAGCACCCACCCTGGCTAACACCAGCATATCAGATGAAGCCAGGCAAGTAGGGTTAAACTCAAAAGAGGCCATAACTCAGATTTCTATCTTTTGTGTTTGTGTCCTTGTCCCATGCAAGTGTTTGGTGAAAAGCTCAGTTATGTTCTTCTAGTTGTAATGAAAGGTCAAATGACCTGATGATGCATGAGCTGCTGAGTTTTGTAGCTCCTTTTATGGTTTAGGTGTTAACGTTGACGTAAGAGACAATGCTACTGTGAAGCAAGGAGTGCCATTTTAACAGACATTGATTGCACAAGGCATCTGATGGTGACATCTGGAACCCAAACTCTCCGACAGTCCTCTGCAATGGCAACCTTACAATGCTAACCCACAGTCAGAAGCATGAAGCATTGAGTAGATAATGATACATACTCTTACAGAGAGGAGATTACTCAGCCACTTGCGGCACTGAGCCAGGTTCTCGAGTTGCACGTAGGCACTGACCTCAACACCATCACTGTCCAGGATGCCTTCATCACTTGGGATGGCCTGTTGTTACTATCCATAGGGAAATGAACTTCACTTCTCTCTTGAACAGCCTTTAAAAGAACCACTAGGGAGACATTGCAAAAGCATGGCACTTTATTTTGTGCGGTCTCTGGCATCTCCGGGGTGGGTGAGGATAATGAACAGAGGTTGTGCGATGCTCTTGGGTTTCAGAGAGTGAACTGCTGTCTGGCTTTCTTCTATGCTGCCTTGATGCTGGAGTCCAGAAGGTTCTCATTGAGGCCAGAACTTGCTGATTCTCATCTATAAAATCTGGCAGTGCAACCACACATGAATATGTAATAACTTTAGAAGAATATGTTTTCTTGAATTCCCACTTAGCTCCTGAACAGAAGAAGTTCCTCCAGCTTTTGGGCCTGCCTCCACACTTAACCCAGAAAATAAAATCTGCCTAATGTTTCAATTGTTTCCACATAACCTCCTGCACATGGGCAGGAAGATATTTTTGTTTCATTGGGGAAGGAGCAAAGTATCAGACCCTGAATGCACTATTGACCTTGCCCACCACAAAACCAATGGACAGGGACAGGAAGGCCTGAGCCCATAAATGAATGGAATTCTCATTTTACAATTTATTTAAAGGACCACTGTCTATTGAGACCATTTTTGCAAGGTCCTGTTGATCAGATTTATATTCCTAATTTGTCTTGGAACTGGATGAAGAGCTTGGACAGACTGCTTTGTACACAGAGGAAGCTTCTCCTGGATACAAATATGGCACACTCTCAGTTCATGTCAGCAAGGAAACATAATAAAAGCATCTAAGGGTAAAACCTTACATTCACAGCCATGTTTTACAAGTTACAAGAAGTTAGTGGAGTCTTGAGAGTTAACAAGTTTTGTGATTTATTATTCGAGGCAATGGTGACCCTTGTTAATATCATTATTTTCCTACAGCAGCCTTGTTTACTTATTAAATGTATAAAATTAACAAATTTTATAACAGCAGGAAAATAACCTTCACAGCAAAAGAATTAAATACCCAAAGAATAAATACAAGAAAATTGTTTTGAAAATAAAATTAAACTTTGCAACCAACATTCCAAACCTTTAAAGAACCTGAATTCTGTAGCCCAGGCCAGTTATTTGCTGCCACTTACATAAGATACCCTGCTACCTCAACCCACAGTGTGAGAAAGGTCTGTCAATGCACTGTTACTATCAACTCATCAATGGGCTCCAGTGAAAGTGGTCTTCTTCTTCACTCTAAAACATAGTAGGCAGTACCGACAAACACAATTCTTGATCACATCAGTGCAAAATTGGGATTACACTTTAAGTATGCCTTTGCAAAGTAAATAGGCTTCTATATCATTTGTCTTTAAACTCCAGCAGCTGAGGTAACAAGCATTCTTACAGACCATCTCAATTTAACAGTAATATTAAGAAGTTCACTACTTCCGTCTGCAGTACACTTACTTGCACTTCCTAAAGCCCAACCTCCACCGTGTATGTAAATAATGCTTCGCTTTAGTTCACCGTCAACCTTCTTCTTGGGTTCAAATACTCTGACTTGTACTCCATCAAACGACGTATCCGTAACTTCAACTGTTTCACTTGATTGAGGGGCAAGCATCTCAAACACGGTAATGACAAAATTCAGAGCCTTTAGGTGGTGACCAAGTCCCATCTGCTGCGCCAGATGACACTGGGTAAATAAATATAATGAATTCCATCATTAATTGCACACAAATTTAATCTTCCTCATACTCATGTGTTTGTGAAGCCAAAAATATTTTAAATTTCATTAAAACTACACTTATTAACCAATAGTCCATAAATAAAATTAGTCAAATATAAATTCAGTTTAGGGATTGTGCAAATGTTTCACAGTAATTCATTAAACATACATATTCCCTATAAAGTTTTTCTTTCAACATAGTCTAGTCTGAAAGGTATGAATGGTCATGTGAACTACGTGGAAGACTCAGTTACTTGTTTCCAATTCAAACGCCTGAAATCACCTTGTTTTTCTTCACTCTACAACAATGTGAGAAAATATGTTTATGACCACTTACACCTTTAATCAGGCCTCCTCACAATGAGAGGATAGGTACACACTTTGATTTTAGTAAACATTGGAATCTGAAGCAGGTTTGTCCACAAGTTGCTACATAAAAGTACAAGTCAGGGTTTAATGTCTTTGTAATTGACTCTAAAGGTAATCAAAGAGAATGCTTAAATCAAGTAGCCAATTAAATCATTTGCAAAGTAAATTGTACATCTTAAAACACTGAGATTCTGAACACAATCATGATGTAGCCACACAAAATGAACCAGTAAGTTATTTAAAAATGGTTTGATATGTTTAGTCACCTATATATTTAAATTATGATTTGGTGCCACTTATGAACCTATTCAGTGCAAGTATAACAATACATTAATGCATATGGTATTTATGAAAGTGAAAAAAAAGTGACAGAGCTAGGTGCTTGAAATGTAGATGGATAATGATTTTATTCAAGAGATTAAATAAGAATATCTGAAAATTGTGTGAAATGTACATTTCATTTAATTATCTTTATTCAGGATCTCTACACTCACTAATTTATAAGAACGTTACATGAACAATTTCTAGGTTTAAGTCAGTGACATATTCAGCTGATTCCCAAATGAAAAATTTGCACAATTCATGCTCAGTTAGAATTTTCTCTATTTTCCCTGCATTACTAATCCATTTCCTACCTGCTGAGCTGAAATGATCCAGGAACTCACCATGTGAAGAACCACAGGAGACACCTCAGTTAATTTTTACTTTGGGTTAGAGAGAAATGTATGTTTTATGTGATCTATAACACAACTGTAAATTAAATTTAGTAAGCAAAATGCATTGATGGGTTAACCCAAAACCAACAGGTAGAGATTGTAATCCTTCTAACCTCAAGGCTAAAACAGCAAAACAGCAGCTATTTGATCTCCCCTCACGCACTTTGTTTAGTTACACAGATTAGTACAGTATTTGAATACAGACTCTCTTTACAGAGATTTGGACTGTTCTTACACAGAACTGGTATGGAATAAACAAAAAGTTATGTTGTTCCACAGATTTTGAAATTTGCTGAAAAGGCAGGCATGTTGCTGATGCCTTGTGTTGCATTTGGTAGGATAAATGCAAGAATTTCAAATTTTAAAAGATCAGATGAATTTATGCCACAGATGAGAAGGGTTACTAGTTGGTTGGCAGTCTAATTAGCCAAGTCTTTGCCATGAGAAAACAATGGGGAACTATAAACGCCTAACCTTCTGGTAATTCAGAGCAAGCACATGGCTCGAACATATGCCCTTAGGTATAGATTTTTGAATCAGAGATAGTAGGAACTGCAGATGCTGGAGAATCCGAGACAACAAGGTGCAGAGCTGGATGAACACAGCAGGCCAAGCAGCA